TATACCAAGATGCATCTTTCAGCTCGCATGCGCAACAAAGAAAACATGCACTTGAGCAGCATGTATTCATCTCTTTTAGCCAGGACCTAACAATTCAGCTCTGACAATGGAGACCTTTCATCAAGAATCACTTGAACCGATTTTCCCGAGGGCAAAAAGGTTGCTTCATCAAGTGCCATTTCACTGTTTTCCTCCAAAGACCTTGAAATTCTACCCAGCATATTCACCATTTCAACATCTTCTCTGCAGAAAATCTCGATTCTCCCACAGATGCTCACAAACTGTTCGAGCAGATTCTCCTTATCGATTGATGCTTTTCTAAGATTTTCGAGCAGAGCTCGTTCATGCAACTCAAACTCCCTAAGTTGACCTTTCAGCTCAAGCACCTGGGACTTCTTAGTTTGCAATGAAGACTCAAGCTCTAAAATCACTTCCTTTGACTGAATAATTGATTTTTTCCGAACTTCCACTTCATCACGCAAACTTATCACTGTATTCTCTAACTCTGTAATTATCTGATTTTTCACTTCAATCTCAACGATTTTCCCGTTTTCAGCTGTCTTCAAGGCTTCATCAAGCAGAACAGACTCTCTCTGAAGTTCTTCTATTTTCTGGTTTCTCTCCTTAATACTCGATGATAGCTTCATGATTTCCTGCTCAAGTGAATTTTGTGACTCCAATAGAGCAAACTCCGCAGCTACTTTTTTGTCCAACTCATTCTTAAGTCGATCTACCTCATTCTCGAGAAAACTGATGCTTCTATTCCTATCTTCAGCAAGTTGGACATAATCATCCTTCTCCTGATTGATCCTTTTCACATCCTCAGATTTTGCTAGCATCACTGACTGTGACTGACGCATTTGATCCCTCAATTTGCCAATCTCGACATCCTTTTCATTCATGAGGACGAAAAGACTAGCATTCTCTTTCTCGAGTGCTTGTTGGCTTCCTTCAAAAGCAGATCTCAATTCTTCGTTCAGAAACATGTTTTTCTCTTCAAACACTTTAGAGCAAGCAAACTGAAATTCGGATCTCAAAGTCATGATAAAAACATAATTTTCCTCATTCTTCACCTCCAATAGCCACCGGCAATCTTCCAGCTCCTTTTTCAGCTCTCTTATGATTTCATCTTTGCTGTCCAACTCAGATAAGCAATTTTCCATATCCACAGTCAATTTTTCTACACGAGAGTTCCATTTATCCTCCTTCTGTTTGAGACTTACACTGCATTTACTGTGCAAATTCTCCAGATCATCAAGTTTATTTCTCAACTTTTTCAATGACGAAGATGAAACATTGCTTTTAATCTGAGCCTCTTGAAGATCTTTCAAAGACGCAAGCAAATCATTGTTTTCTCTTTCTAGCTGTGCTGCTTTATAATTCATTTCATTACACAGCATTTCTTTTTGTCTTAGTGACATCCTCAGCTCGGTTATTTCTTCATCCCTCTTTACTGCCAATTCCTCAATCTCAGATTTCACTGACTTGCAATCTGAGTACACGTTCTCAAATTTTGCTCTAGATTCAGACAGCTCGATTTCAACAGCTTTTCTCTTACTTTCTTCATGGGCCAATGCTTGATTGCTCGACCACAGCTGAGTTTCCAGGTTTTCGGAAACCCGAACCTGAGCATCAAAATCCGCTTGCAGCTTTGAAATTTCATCAACGAGCAACGATTTTTCCTTAAACCACTCTGTTTTGCTCGACTCGAACTCGGCCCGAAGCTGACAGTGTGCTTGCTCGAGATGTGAAAATTGCTCATTTTTCCATTTCAGCTCATCCTTCAGAACTGCATTTTCCTTCTCCAATTCGACTATATATTCATCTCTCTGTTTTAATTCTCTAGACGCATGTTTGCGCACTTCTTCAGAGCTTTCCATTTTAGTTATTGATAAAAGCCTCTTGAGCCCAGAAATTTCATCTGAACTAATGCGAGTTTTTTCCTCCAGGTCCTGGATTCTTGATGATGCCTCGTCAAATGATGAAATCAAATCCCGATTTTCACATTCCAACTTTGATATTTTTTCACCATATTCTGCACGAAGCTTTTCATTTCCAGAATTAATCTTCTGTAAAACCAAGTCCTTTCTCTGCAAATTGGACTGGAGTTCCTCGCACATTTGCCTGATCTCGCATATCTCCTCGGATTTGGCACTTAACTCGCGAGCCAACTTGTCGATCTCCAGCTTATCTTGCCGCATTTTGGCTAGTTGCTCGGCTTGGGCTTTTCTCAGACTATGATAAAGCTCGGTTTTGGCCCGGCATTCGTATCTGAGCTGCTCTGCCTCGAGTTTAACTTCATCTAGGTCATCATGAATCCTATCCATTATTAGTTCTCTAAACAAGTTTTTATCCTGCACGCATAAGGTTGAGGAGCAGACTGAACATAAGCCAAAAACAAGGATCATATGAAAACAAAAGCAAGTAAAAGAAGATTGGTACACAATAATCAGGAAAGGGAAACAAATAAATATTTTTTGTAAACTTAGTCCTCAGGAAATGTTATAAGACGTTCGAATGTCCTAAACTTAGATGTCACTAATTCTGCATTCTACAGCATAGTATCATCCAGACCTCCTCGAGTCCCTTTTTTTAGTTACTAAACCATTCTGTTCTCAAGAATCAAGCCAATAATCCTGATCAAGACAAATGTGTTGAGAGAGTCTCGAAAACAAGAAGAGAAAAAAAAGAGAGAGAGTGATATTACTAGCTAAGAACTTATGTTCCCTAACCACAGCCAACGCAGACTAAAAAAACAAAATATCAGAGCTGGACCATATTCAATAGACAATAACTACACCATCAATAGAGCCCATCCATTTAGTGAAGTTCTCAGACTTCATCGAATTATAAGTTAACCAAATCAGTAAATGTAAAAGAATACCCACACCATAAAATGATTTAAAAAATAAATAAATAAATCAACTTTATTACAATATTCCCTATATTAGAACCGGGAGAAGAGGGTGCGGTCCCAACAGGTGAAGCGTACCATAAGAGAGTGAGCCTAGATACACCTTAGTGAGGTTCCATCCAAAAACCAATTTGCATCTAAGCTCACCCTCTTATGGTGCACTTCACCAGGTGGAACCGCACCCTCTTCCCCCGGTTCTAATACCTACTCTCTGATAGTGATGATTGTTTCAACAACCACAGTTATTGTGAAGAAAATGTTAGGAGAAATAAACAACCCCGGTAACTTCCAAGATATCCAATTGGCCATTTCAAGATAAAATCGAAAATAAATAGTGACATTTCATCATTATTGCAGGCATAATCGACCATAGAATTTATTTCAGACGACTATATTCTATTATCGCTAGAGACGCGACAATGGCGTGCTGCAATTATAACTGGTTGGATCGAGATAGAATTGCAAATGCAACCGACAATAAAAGAACAAAATAAGATCGCGAGCGGATCCTGAATCCTCGTAGCTGTGACGAGGGTTTCGAACCCTAAGATCCGATTAAAGGAATCAATTTGGACAGCGTAAAATTCGTATGGACGAGCATGAAGATTTACCTTTCAGGCGCGGATGGAGTGGATTAGCGGGCGCTTGGCTGGAAGAGGAACAAAACAATGACGGACAGACGAGAGAGAGAGAGAGAGAGAGAGAGAGAGAGAGAGAGAGAGAGACGCCGTTGTGTGGAGCGGGAAAAGATTTCAGTTGAAAATTTGAATTTCACAGGCTAACGTTGAGTTTGAGAGAGGGAAAGCAACACAAATAAAATCAATTCTAATTAATTGAGCACATTTCATATTTTCCTATTTTAGTCCATAAATCTCATTATTATATTCTTTAACAAACGAAAACAAATATTATTAATAGCCTAGAAACAAAAATATTATTACATAGACACACTTCTATTGAAATTATACAAGCAAACCAACCTTGGTAAACAAAACAAGAAAATAGTTATTTACACTTCGTTATGAAAACTGAATAGGTTTTTTGCGCTGATGGATTATAAGTTAATTTTTTCACCTCATAATGTCTTAAAGTTATTATGAGATAATTACGCGACAATTGTGTGAATGACATTGTGCGAAAGTTAAAATGCAAAGGCATTCACACAACTCTTCGCACTTTTTAATGTGATGTGATGCTACTGATATGCGACAGTTGTGCAAACCATTCGCATAAGCTTTTAATTTTTAAGGGTGAAAATATTAGATTGTTAGCGGGCGAGCAGGGTCAAAAACTGAATATATATTCAGGTCAGAGGAGCGAACTCCTAAATGACACAAGAGAGAGTATCACTTCCGGCAAAGGTAATCTTTGATTCCCGAAAGCTATCACCAAACTCCAACCTAGATAAGCCAAGAGCAACTACACTAGGGCAACAAAATTAACTTGCCACTGCACCCACAAGGGACCTAGCAAGCTAACAAAACACTACCAAAGAAACAACACAAAAACCAAAAGGAAAGAAAAAGAACCCTACTACCAGGGACCAATCCAACTAAGAACCTGTACAATGAGCAAATTCAGACCAGTCGAGACAAGCTAGGTTAACTGTGTGATTCTCTGATCTCCAAACCTTCTCAAATAGCCATAAATTCCTCGTTTTCCACATCCACCATAAAAGGTAGCTTGTCAGTTGAATTCTATCTTCTGCCACCGGGTTGTGATTAACAGAGCGTACTTTTGTCCAGCAGTGTTTAAAGTTTGAAGTTTCAGGTTGGAGCCCTTCCCATGAGATGCTCAAGTAGAAAAAATGAATGTAAAAAAATTTTGAGTCCATTTTCTACTGTTTCAGATCCTGTCTAACATGCAAAAAAACGTGTTGACCTGACAATCCGCATTAGATTCGCATAAGCTCGGCATAAGCTCGTCGCTAATATTGTGCCTGCTAGTCTTCGCATCCGCTTCGATTATTTTATCATGTTTAGTAACAACTATAAATCCATCGACCGATCTAATAAATAATGGGACTGAAGTACATTCAATCGAGTTAGAAGTTAGAACCCCAGCGTATAAACAACATAAATTACATCACAAAAATTCGGTACAATTATTTTCCGGCCCTACAAATGTTCCCAAAACGAAAATCCGTTGTTACAGCAACATAGCAAGGTCTAGCATTCGACTATATGTCACTATACAACAGACGTAAAAGTTCGGCTAACTCTGAATTTTACAAAAGGAAAAAATCAATTTCTGGATTAGTATTGGCTCTTCAATACATCGCTAACCTCCAAATGTAGCCTCAAACCATGGTTAATAGTTGGATACCACTGACCACAGATGAACAACATATCAAACATGTTCCTGGAGCAACAATGACTCGAGTTCTTCTCTACGTCGCTCAAGATCCTGTAAACAATAAATTCTTGTATAATTTTTAACAGAGACGTGACTGATTATCATAAACAGGATCAAAACACCGGACGCTTATGAATAATATGCCTCGAGTTTTAATATCATCCATGATCCATCGTTGTTTTCACTCTTACCATCTTTTATCCTTATTAGCATTAGCAACTTGGGATGGTCAAATTGTATTTTTTTAAGAGACATAAAGGAAATGGAGAGAGTATATTGTTGAAAAACACAAACTACGATAGTACCTCGAGGTCCTTTATTGCTTGGTCCCTGGACAGTTCTCTTTTCTGTCGAGCACGCTTGACGGCACCAATGCACAATATTCCCTTAAAAACATTTAAATTTTTCAATGGTTAGAGTTAACTACAAAGTCCAACTTATTTTAGAAACAAAACTGCAGCAACAGGCCACATTTCTCTTAAATAATAGAAATATTCATTACGACACATGTGAATGAGCAGCCAATACCCAGACTTGGAAGAAGATACGGACATAATAACTAAAACATGACAACGAAAAACTCATGAAAAACAAACTATTACTAACTATCAGGTTGCATTTACTTACTGATATCACATAAACTACACCACATGCAAGAAGAAGGTAGCTTGCAATGCTTTGCAGAAGGAAAAGCTCTTGGCGGTTTCTTAAATACTCCGGATAAGCTCTTGTCATGACTGCAACACTAGAGAAATAAAAAATTCACGCATTAAATAAACTAGAGAAAACTCTTTAGGTATGTGAAATAGTGAAGTAAAAGGTGATTCTAAAAAGCCAGACATACAAGATCTGCAGCATTCCCCTGCCTGCCCAATATTCCAGAACCTGCAACATATTGGGAAAGACATAATAATACATGAGCATATAATATGTTAAATATTTTAAAAGTTACAATAACAGTGTCAGGCAATCCGGAAATGATGTTAAAGAAAACAATTTTTTTATGGTGCAGGTAATCTTCAGTATTCAGATAAGGAAAAGTCACTTGGACCGAAACATTATTCATCAACTTCAGATACGACTCACTTAAATATAATAAATAATAATCAAACCATCATAAACAATCTCTGAAGCATGATTCTTTCCAAAAATGCAGCTGAATCATATCAGTAAGATACAAATGGTCAGGATCATCCAAAAAGACTGTAGAGCGTCAAACTCTAAAGTTACTTTACCTCAATAACATATAATTATCAAATTTTTGCTGTAAAAACTGATTCACAGGCTTGAGCTATCTATCTTAATTGCACAAGACACATTAACATATTTAATGTCAAAAAACCAACCAGCTAGCCTATTCGCATCCTGACCAGTATTACTAGTAAACAAACTACACTACACTTTCATAATTTACTAGTCGCTCACACTAAAGCACTTATCAATTCTGTAAAACTTTACACGAAAAAACTGGGCCTGACACTCTAGATTTACATATAGCCTTTGTTACCATGTCCTTCTACAAAAAGAGTATTGTATCCAGACCCATGATGGCTATCAAAACAGTTAAATATTACCATAAAATTGAAACTGCAGCAAACTTGATAAGTCACTTCCATACTTTTTTCTGTTACCTATGAATTCCATGAACCAATCGCACAAAAATTTGCAACAGAGATCGAAATGACTCTAATATCGTTCACATGGAAGAATTAGCATGTCGAAATTTAGAAGCCAATCAAACAGCCACCAGACAACAAGTAACTGAGTAAGAGTACAAGTAGACAAAGGACCATCTAAATCCCGATAAGCATCACTCTTTGTTTCAGATTGCCTTACCAAGGACACAACTTTGACAGATATCATTATACTATCCCTATTCACTAAAACTTGCACCACCTTCAACATTTTTTTTTCTTTTGTCTGCAAACTGCACAAATGTGTTATATGACAAAAGATTACGGGGACTAAAGATTAGAAGCCAACAAAGTTTACTTAACACAGAAGTGGTAACGTGAATTCACTGTCCTGCGCTGCAGCTGAAACTCTCACCATTCAGGAAGTAAAAATGTACAGAACAGGAGCAAACGAAGGGCATAAATTAACACAAACATGGAGAGAGAGAGAGAGAGAGAGAGAGAGGCAGAAGACCTTTGAGAACTTCATAACAACTCCCCACTCAGTCTCCGCGACCACCACAAACACGGCTATGACCACCGCGTAGCACCGGAATATTCCGTCAAATATCTACACAAGAGCAGCTCGACAAATTCACACACACACAAGTGAAGAAAAAAAAAAATATCGCAGTGACGTTTTAACAGCAAAATTAGAGAGAGCAATAAACATTACATCGGATCCGTTTTTGAAAGATCGAACAGCTGAGAGAACATTAACAGCGATGCAGAGAATGCCAGCCAGAGAGGTTATGAAGCTAAAGCATCGACAAGCTATCAGAAAACTGTCGGGCCGCGAGCGGATCCGGCCGGCGGACGCAGTCGGAGCCCGCTGCGGATCGGGCTCGGACGCGGCGTGGATGTCGGCCCGACGGGAGCTCTCTCCCTCCATTTTTCTCCTCAGAGATTACGCTCGAGCTTGAAAGCGAGGTAAGGGCAATTTTCAGGCCTCCCGCTGGCTGGGAAGAGGGAGAGGTTTCACAGTTGGAAGATTCTTAACCCATCTGAGGAAGAAATTGAAATGCCCTGCTCGAAATCGCCATGTGTAGGTTAAAACGAGGCTTGAATTTTAAGACATGACTTTTACCTCCCATTTTTATTGTAAATGCTAAAGTTCCGGAACTATTTTGTCGTGGTTTATAACCGTTAGATCATCATGTAACCGTCATAACACTTATTTAAAAACCGCTAATGCAATTCGCTAGTCAAATCAGCTAATATAATCCGCTAACCGCTATCCACTAATACAATCCGCTATCCGCTATCCGTTGATCGCCAAACTAAATTTATTTGGAAATGAAATGTTAGGTAAATTTTGAGGTGAAGGATAATTTTTATTTATTTATCTACTAGTACAACACCCGTGTATTACACGGGTGCTTGTTAAAAAATTATTCTTAAATTTTACAATTAATGAGAAAACTATAAAAATCTAGTTTACTTTTTTACAAAAAAAAAATATATTACTCTATATTTTAGAATAATATGTGTTACTTATGACTTACATGTGTTATATTTATAACTACTTGTAATATAAATATATTAGTTGATAAATAATTTTATTTTTCTAATTAATATTAAAAATAACTTTATTATTGTTATAAAGATAAATATAAATTATTATTTTTATACATATAATATGGATGTCAAATCGAAGCTCATCAAAAGATGATTAATTTGATATAATACATATGTAAAACTGATAAAAAATACAAAAGTTATTAACTTTTAAAATATATATACAATTCAATAGTTATAATAAGGAATGATATTGAAATGTAATTAATACATGTAACATGACCATAAATAATCAACGTATTTATGGTAATCCGAACCTAATTATTTTTTGTTTGGAATTAAATTAAAATTTACCTAAGCAAAGCATGTAATTTTGCCACATAGGATTCCGAAGCACCAGAAACAGCCACGTAAGCTCAGCGCGTTCTGTATTAATACTAGTACAACGCCCGTGTATTACACGGGTGCTTGTAATTTTTTATTTAAAATTTAAAATTAATGAGAAAAAATAGTTGAAAATTTAAAACCTTTTATAAAAATATATATACTATTATATATTAAGTATGAAACTTTTTATTTGTGCGACTTACCTGTATTTTATTATAATAATTTTTTATAACTTACAAAATATATCTATATTAAACATAAATATATCAATTAAGAAATAATTTTATTTTTCTAATGAATTTTAATAAATATTATTATTATTTTTATTATAAAGATAAATATAATTTATTTATTAAATATATACAATATGGATGTCAAATCGGACATCATCAAAAGGAGATTAATTTGATATATTATATATGTAAAACCGATAAGAAATACAAAAGTTATCAACTTTTAAAATTCATTTACAATTCAATAGCTAATTGAAGGAAACAAATCAAAAGTCAGGGATATATTAGTCACTTAGTGACTCACTATGTAAAATTACAAAGAATTAAAGGGTTATATTAGTTCAAGTGATATTAAAATACCTAAGTTAACTAAATAATATTTATGGAATGTCCTAACCTAGATTATTAATTATTAATATATCAATATTATTTGTCCAAACCTAATTACGAAGCATGATTATTTTCCAAGTAGGATTCCGAAGCACCAGAAACAGCCACGTAGGCTCAGCGCATTCGGAAATTATATATAAGGGGGATGATAAAACAAAGAGCATGTGTATAAAAATGGAAAGATGCTACGGTCCCGTTATAGAACTATTTTGTCGAAGTTTATAACAGTTAGATAAACTACCAGTCTTTCAATAAGGCGTTGACATATTATTATTTGTTAGCATCATAAACCAATGTAGATTAATCATATAGATGACATATTATTATTTGTTAGCATCATAAACCAATGTAGATTGTAAAATAAATAATACAAATTAAAAAGTTCTAAATTAAAATTGTAGATTGTGAATCCTCTATCCCCAAAAAGCTCCTCTAATGAGCTTTTTCTAAATTAGAGTTTTGGGCCTAAAAAGTTTATCAAATAAACTATTTACCAAACAAGTTCAATAGCGGATTTGACGGGTCAAACCTCTCAATTAAGTCCAATCCGCTAATTTATCCTCAATCCGCTATCTTCCAAACGGGGCCATATAATTTCAGAACGCACTGATCTTGAATACCATGTAAAAAAAATGTAGCAAAAAATCATGCTTCAACAGTCTTGCATATAAATTAATATTTTTTCTACAAAAATAAGTAGGTTTGGATTTCATTTAATATTTATATTATTCACATCAAATTTTAATTCCTTCTTTTCTTCCAGAATATGTTACCATAAACTATTTTAAGTTTACTTTTCTTACATCACGATCTATTACCTTTCATTTTCTTATTTAATTCATACATCAGTTATTATAAATGTTTGTTCTTCTTATTTTAAAAAAAAATAAATTATTTAATTGTTTTTTTTTATATATGATATATCAAATTATTTATAAATACGTATCGATCTTGTTGTCTCCAGACAGAAGCTTGCTCCTCGGCCATGACATGGCCTTCGCCGCTCTCCGCTGGGATCTAGAAAGCCTTTGCAGCGCGGCACCTTGGTTCGTCTTTTTATTTTTTACAATGTTGTGTTTTTTTTGTTAATAATTCCACGTAATTAATGTAGTCACACTCAACAAACTGCAAGTTCTACTTAGATATAATAATTAGCGGGAAACACTGACATATTTTGAATGTCCGACGAATTTATGATTCGTTTGGCAAAAGTACGAAAAATCAAGATTTTATAACAATTTATCCAAAGATTTGGATTAAATTGTCAAAAACAAAAATGTCAAGATTTAAATAGCAATTAACCCTTCAAACAAGCATATTTACATAGACATGGCCAAGGGCCGCCCGGCCGGCCGACCCGGCCCGATCAAACCCGTTGACCATGGCTCCGGGCCCAGATCGGATTTCCGAAGGATCGTGTCAGGGTCATTCATTTCATTACCGCCGGGCCAGGTCGGGTCGATGATCCTTTTTTTATTTTATTTTATATTTTTTCCTATTGTTTTTTTAAAAAAATTGACCGAACTGGTCCGAACACGACCCAGCCCATACCCAGACCCCGCCCGGTCAACCGGGCCATTGACCCGACACAAGTATAGGTCGTGCTTGGTCCGGGCTATTGTTTTCGAGCCCAGCGACCCGACGGGCCGGGCCGGGTCACGATCCGACCCGTATTTTGGCCATGTCTATATTTACTTACTTAATTACAAAATTCTCATTCTACCCACTCCAACTCTATATCAATTTAGGCATTAAAAAATTATTTATTTTCAGAATATTCCACGCTGTCGTTAAGAGAGTATTTAAACCCCACACCGCCGGTCGCTTCTCGATACAAAGTCTCCTCCTCCTCCTCCATTGATCACACAGCAAAAGTAAAGAGAGGACACAAAAATGGAGAACAAGCAAGATCAAATCGTTGCAGAAAACGGAGTATCTGAGATCCCTACAACAGACGCCTCCGTTTCTGGGTTCGATTCCTTGCACCGCCTCCTCCAATCTTCACTTCCTCCCCATCTTTTTCAGGTCACATTTGCACCATTTTTTCTCTGTATTGATTATGATTTTTTGATTTATTCGGTGGTTAAGTTAATTGATGTATAAATTTCGATCGAACGGGTTTCTTGATTTCTGGGCTTTTGAATTTTGATTATTGGATAGTATTTATTTGCTGTGTTTCTGAGTTTTTGACCGTTTTGTGGAATTGGGTTTCTTGCTAAATCATACACTTAGCTTGGGATTTACTTGATTTGGATTTGCCCACCTCGTTAACTCTGCCCCATTGTAGCGCTGAGAGTTCACTGGGCTCGATTTTGTATAAACCACGATTTCTTGTATGAGACTGTCTAATAGTTAGCATGCCTTTTCGAGATCTAAAGTTATTATATATTGACTTGTAATATCTGTGTTGTTCTTGGATGATCGATTTTGTTCCGCTTGTGATATGGCAGGAAGTTAGTCGAATACTTATTGGTCTAAATTGTGGAAGTCCACTTGATACTGTTGATGTTCCTGAGCCCGCAAAATCTCTCTCTGCGAAGCATGGTTTTGATCTACAGGTACCCTAAAGGTGGTTGCTTGTGGCTTACTTTTGCAAATTGCAATATGCTCTACTGGAGGGAGTCCATCCTTTCCGTATCGTAAAAGGCCGAGTGAAGTATGATGAAGAGAAATGGTTTTCCTATCCTAATGACTGCTCGATTTAATTTTGAGATGATAATATATTTTAGCTTGTGTATTACTACAAAGTATATTGTTTAAAGTTTTGAATGAGGTGAAGGGAAGTGAAAGAAGAGGAGAGGATTAGGAAGGAAAAAGAAAAAAAGAGTTAAAGAAAATAGGAATAACCAGGGATTATGCTAATGCATTTTGCTTTCTGTTACCTGCAAACTTACTTGAAAATACTCAGTTTGTCGATTACACAAGTATCCTTCAAAATGTAGGCATTTTCATTTCGTGCTGAAAAGGAGTCACTGAGGGAACCCCGCATTGTGCGTGTGGGGTTAATTCAAAACTCTATTGCTGTTCCCACAACAGCACCGCTGCTGGATCAGAAAAGAGGAATCTTCCAGAAATTGACGCCTATCATTGAAGCAGCTGGCTCGTCTGGAGTGAACATATTGTGTTTGCAGGTACTTTGCCCCTAGTGATTCCGGAATATTCTTATGAATTAAAGATAGCCATAAGAGATTCACAAAGAAAAAAAAATAATATTATCGATATAGGAGGCCTGGATGATGCCGTTTGCATTTTGCACCCGCGAGAAGAAGTGGTGTGAATTTGCAGAGCCAGTGGATGGAGAGTCAAGTCAATTTCTTCAGGAGTTTGCCCGGAAATACAACATGGTTATAATAAGTCCAATTCTTGAAAGGGATGAGAAGCACGGGGAAGTCGTGTGGAATACTGCTGTTATAATTGGAAATCACGGAAACATAATCGGAAAGCACAGGAAGGTAACCCTACATCAACTACGAACGAGTATTTGTTGTTTCTGATTGAATGGTTGACAAATAACGAATAATATAGGAAAAAAAAAAGGAACATGTTTATTCTAAATATTACAAGATAAAATAAAAATAAAAATTAAAATTAAAAATCTGTATTTCTAAAGCACATTGCATCCTTATCGTTTGTTTCTGTTTTTGAAGTTGCACCCTAATATGGGGTGATATTTGTATAAAACCTGTTTAATCAGGTAACATTTAAGAGGTACTCTTTTAGTCTTTTTGTTTTTGTTTTTTCAACCGTATATCATTATTATGGAATGTTTTCAGAATCATATACCCAGAGTTGGGGATTTCAATGAAAGTACATACTATATGGAAGGGAACACTGGGCATCCTGTGTTCGAGACGGCTTTTGGGAAGATTGCAGTCAATATATGTTATGGAAGGCATCATCCTCTAAACTGGATGGCTTTTGGATTGAATGGTGCTGAGATTGTTTTCAACCCATCAGCAACTGTTGGTGAACTAAGTGAACCAATGTGGCCTATTGAGGTATTACTTTGATTTTCTTGAAATTTAGCTGTAACTTATGGCAACTTATATAATTACTTCCACAGTTCAATTTTACATTTATTTATCTTGTCGTGCTGATTCTATTTTCTATTATGAATTTTTGCAGGCGCGTAATGCGGCAATAGCAAATAGTTACTTTGTGTGCTCGATCAACCGTGTTGGGACTGAAAGCTTCCCCAACCCATTCACATCCGGAGATGGGAAACCCCAGCACACAGATTTCGGGCATTTTTACGGCTCGAGCTATGTATCGGCACCCGATTCCTCGTGCACGCCATCCCTGGCCCGTCACAAGGACGGGCTTCTGATTTCAGACATGGATCTCAACCTCTGTCGTCAGATTAAGGACAAGTGGGGGTTTCGTATGACTGCAAGGTACGAGGTTTATGCTGATTTGCTCGCCCGTTATGTGAAGCACGATTTCGAACCTCAAGTCGTGATTGACCCATTGTTAAGTAAGAAAAGCTTGTAGCTAAGTAGCTTAGGGCAGGGCATTGCAAGCTTCTTTGTGTTGGGCTTTGTGGGCATGTAAAATAGTTTCATTTTGAGTTTAAGGCTTCAATAAATTATGGTTGTAATTTGGAAGCATGCTTTGCTGGGTAAATGTGATGCCTTTGACTCAAACTCCACTATTTTCAGTATTACCGATATAATTAAATATCAATCGGTCATTCTTACACATTGTATTGAGTATATATTTTTCTGTTGGATTTTTCCCTGAAAGAACAGAAATTTATGACAACATTGTTGTCGTTTTCGCGCTAATGCACACTAGTAAGCCGTCACTTGAAAAATACAGAGCCACACCCCATTGCATTGAGTCATTAAACTCGTGAATACGGACATATTTATTCATCAAACTGCACGATCCATTCGACATCATACGTAAACTGAAATAAAACTCAATCCTCTGTTTTACATATGAAGCTGCACAATGCATTTAGACATTTTTCTTAAACTGACATAACACACAATCCTCTGTTTTAACTTCATGCCGAAAGTGGCTACACGACTTTACCTGGGAAAACACTGCCATGTAATTCTAGTTCATAGCCTCTAGATTTTCATCAAACGACACTTGCCTAGCGATCTTGGCTCCTCGTCCCTTGGCCATGTAAAGACCCACGTGATGCATCAGTTCCTGCACTCCACAAAATCGATCAAAATCGGACAATTGTCCAAAATCAAGGAGATACAGTGTAAGGAGATCCAACATTTGAGGGGTTGTTTTTGTGATTTTCACAAACCTTAACAGAACCCGTTTTTTCCAATTAGACTAAAAACTTGGGGCCAAGTTTGTTATATCCAAGAATACCTGTGGATGAGCTAATTGATCCTTGCTGCTATTTGCCACTGAGGCTGGAAAATCAAAAGTAGCACATCCTCTCGAGTACACGACCACGTTTTCTAGTGGCTCGAGCA